GTTTTGCGTCTCGATACTCGGGCACTGGCTGCTATGTATGCAAAACAGAAGGCACTTTGTAGGCAGAATATTGTATAGACAGAAGCTTGTTCGTAAGCATGAGGTGTGCTGAAGGAAAAGGAAAAATTTCGTGTGTAAGTCTTGTTAACCAAAAGGCTGTATGATGGAACTTCAATGCCATTGGCTGAAATATAGCCAGCCAGAATAAGGAAAGGGTTTCGCGCGTCACCGACCTTATTGCCTAGCGCGAATTCCAGCAGGATATCCCGGCATCAAGTGCAGTCCTACATTGCACTGACAACAACCGTAGCGGTTAGTAGACTTAGGCAGATAGTAGTTTCGACAAAGACAAGGCATACTGGGAAGGCTAGTTGTGGCTTATTAGCCGTCATCAGCCGGTCAAACCCAAACCCACGTGGTCCAGCATCTGATACTCGAACTCGTGACCTTTCGATGATAGTTGAGCACCGTAGTCACTGAGCAAGGAGATCTTTTTGTTACCGGTGTGTCATTGAGTGGCATCTTGATTGCTTATATCAACCGACCATTTAAGTAAAATGTTTGTCATTTAAATGGACATTAAGGTGTGTTTGAAACTATATAAATGAATACAATTAAAGTAAACCCTCCGCCTTTCAGAAAAAAGCAAACAAATATATGTGCTTTGTTACTACTAGGCAGTTCTATCTACAGTCGGAAGTAGAAGTCCAGAAGTGAGGAGAAATCGTTATACTGGTCCATTTATATGAAGCAACTGAGCGTTTTTACTGACTGCTGTGACTTAGCTTTGCCTATCAGCGCACCCGCATATAATAATCTCCCTATAGGAGAACATTTGATCCTCCAAATGCAGTAAATAAGAGACGCCAGTAGTAGAAACGGGTCACTATCAGTACTATTCGAACCTTCTCGTACATTTACAAATGTCCCAAAACTGTCTTATTTTTAAATGTATTGCGTCCTTTAGACCCCTTGTTGGGGAGACAGTGGCGCTGGTGTCTACTGCCTTGATGCTCAGAGACAATGGATCCTCTATGGAGTCATCAACCAAGGAAGCTTTCTTTGTTCAGGCCGCTATGCCACCAGCACAAAGGTACTTTCTCATATTGTCTGGATCAAGCAAACGATTGAGACCAAGGACTTCGCCTGAAAAGGACAATATTGCGATTTAATTTTGCGAGGTTGAGTCGTGTCAACTACACCTCACATTACTCTCTTTGGATTCCCTTAAACGGTTTTGGCTTTTCATTTTCATTTCATATGTTTTAGTTAGGACGCATTCTTTCTGGTTGTGGTGGTTTTATGAAGATATTGCATTCGTACTTGTGTCCTTTATGACTTATGCGGTTGAAAAAATATAAAAATAATCGAGTATTTTTGGCGACAGATTGAAAGGTACATTCACGCATAACTTGACGTATTCCTAAACGGTGAATTGACGGAGAAAACAAGCACCTAAGGAGGTAGTATCCCGGCCCATCCTTGAATTGCGCATAGAACAAAGTTTATTTTACTCAAATACGCAGGTTACTGCCGAAATGAGGAAAAGGGAACGATATATGATTTTTGAGTAAAATTGCCAAGAGCATTAACTGCTTGTGACCTATTTTGTTCTCTCACCTATAAACACCGAGGACATCACGTCAAGTAAGCAAAGGTTTTTGTGAAAAGGCACCTTCTCTATAGTAATGTTATTCAAATACAGTTAAATTTACCTAATCAAAATGTGGGGAGCTGCATTTAGAGTATTCATGTTTTCTAGAAGTGTAAACTGCTACGTAAAATTTCAACTTTATATATACTTGCAGGAGATTTCCTAGGAATCTTTGGCGTCAAGCACCTCTAGCCGCTCGACCAACGAATCCACCGACTGTATGCCATTCCGAGTACCCATGAGGGTGGTCTGTGCACCCCATTTTACATTTACGGAATCCTTCATATCACGCTAGCACTTTGAGTGGAAAGAATTTTAAGTATTCGCCCGCTTCGCGCATGCATGGAAGAATTCAGTCAAAAGACAAGCATGTGGCTGCAATGAATCACAAGACCGTGTCGGCCGAATGCTCTCAGCGTAGAGAGAATGCGCACAAAACCTTTCCTTTTTTGGGGGTTTTGATAGAATCCCTATGAAAAAGCAGTTTCATTTCTACTACTATTGATTCCCAGGTCCCCACAGAAAAGGGTCAGCGTTAAATGGGTTCATCTCGATGTTACTGTTACTCGTTGACTGGTCCGCAGGTACCCAATCAAGGGTATTCTCTCCAGGTGAAGCTGCATTCATGTTTCTGCTGCATACTGTCTCGGTTGCATTCAATCGGGTTCACTGCTCACCCCAGCTGTGTTTCCCATCTACACAAGGTTAATCGAATTTGCGTGCACACGTAAAGGGGATGGAGAAGGTGCTGTTATAACCGGAATTATACTTTTACTTATACATTTTTTCAAACTCTTACCGAAGTGCATGGTCGGAGGAATAAGTGGCAGCAAAAACAAAAAAAGTGAAAGTAGATGTTATCGCTTGGCCATATACTTCATTAATCTGGCCTTGCGGATTGCGCTGTGAATCCAGCCTCAGAGGAAATAGCAGAAATGGGTAGTGCACGCCCAGAGAGTTGCAGGATAGATTCGCTTTGCTACCGCACACCCATGCGACAATTAACGGACTCCCCTCAACTTTCGAGGGCAGATGCCCGCTTAAGCGTTAATTGCTTAATGGCCGGCATGCGTACAGTGACCTGTTGAGAGTTCATTCACCGTGCTGCACGATGATTGCTCGATGACTTGGCTCCCTGTCATTGACGCTAGAAGACTTGTTCGCCTGTGGGCTCCCTGTATGGCACATTCATTTATTAAAACTGAGCCTCGACACCCAGTATGTGTTGTTTTGGTCATTTGACTTGGCTGTTTTTTTTACTCGAAGCCCATAACGTCCGTGTCGAGTAAATCACGGCTTTCACGACTATCAGCTCTCACGAGAATGTCGGCTTCCTCATATTTGAATATGCGGTTGGACCTCGTCAAAGCTAACGACGTAAAATGTATTTGTTTTTACCAGACCTCGCATCTGCTTCTTGTGAATTAGTTCCTGGGACATGCATGTTTATTTGTAATGGCAAAAATCCGCAGTTGTCGGAGGGGGGGGGGCAGGGGCCAGTCGAACATTAAGCACTATTCCTCATTTGGTGTGTTGCCCCATGCTACATATGTACATAGGCTAGGTACACTATTTAAAAGGCAGTTGGATCGACCTGCCGACTTTGGTGTACATTTCTCCGCCTGTCGGCGTTCCTTACTGCATGTTTGGTTGCGCGGATACGCAACTCAAGGCGAATAGTCTCTGTGTCTCCAGGAATGCGCTCCCTTTCCCTCAGCACGCCTAGATGGCCGAACGAAAGATCAGCTCGTCCAAGACAAAGCTTGCATTTCCCCAGCGACGCGGTTTGACGCATTGGGAATGAGAACGTTGACAATCAGCTTTGGAGTGATTTTAGTATGACGTAATTGTGCTGCGTGTGAGTCAAAGTAGCCACCGCCCCCTCCATCCATGTCAAAACAACGTAATGACGGCGAGAGGTGGGTTCTGACGCAGAAATAGACAAAACTAAACAGCTCCTTCTCAGTATGCATTCAAAAGCTTGTGCCTACACATAATCTAATCACCAAAGCAAGGCCTTAAGAGTGGTTTATGGGGCTATCGAAGATTTCAGTAATTCAACTGACACAATTGTGAAATGTTTGCGGCCTCCGTTGGAGTCGAGCACACATAACAAGGAAGGTTTTTGTGCAGCCAATACTCCACCAGTTGAATACGAGGCTCACAATCCACCGTCGGCAGCGCAAACGCCTTCTGTGCATGACTGTCATCGAGGCCGCAAATTTTCACTATTGGGTCAGCTGAATTACTTAAATTTGCCAACCCTACTATGCTCGCTTACATGTGTGTAACATTTAGTAATATCGCGGAAAATGTACGTGTCTGTTGTGTTCTTCTGGGGAAACAGCGGCAAAAATCCGTTTTTGAAATTGCTTTTAGACGCAAAAAACTACCAACCCTACAATCTTTATATGTGACTGGAACTCATAGGTATTACCTTCGCATATTGGACATCCATTGTCATGTTAATTCTTCCAAGTGTAAATTTGCGATAACATCCATTGAAAATTTCAAGAGAAATTGGCACAAATACGTCTGTTTTTGATATATTCCCGTCAGGCCTTTACAGGTATATGGTAATGAAATAAATAAACTTAGCCGCTTGGTGGAAAGATGTAGTCTTGTTGCTGTCAGGGTCGGGGTGGGAGAAATTACGGGCAAATTAAAGTGTATAGACGGACCTTGGGTAGCGTCTATCGGCTACGACAGAAGCGGCTGCCATCAGGCTACGCTGACCGGTCCTGTGCGCCAAAAATAACCTCATCGTTTTTGCAGGACAAAATGCTGGGCCTAGGGCATATGAAAAGGCCTGCATAGGCTTCTTTTGCCGCCGTATGCCCTGCCCTTTATCCAACACACCCAAACAAATGCCATATTTGTGCTCCATGACTTCACGTAGTTTAAGATGTAAAAGTTCAATGTTCAGTCTTACAGTGAAAGCGGGGGAGCATCGGCCGTTGGTGGGTCTTTCATTGAATGCTGAATTCATACAAGATATTTCTGTTTGCCGCGTGATCGGTTGCTTTCGTCACCTAATCACAAATATCTGGTGAACATCGATTCAACTAGCAGGGCTATGTGTCATGTGCAGACACAAGTTGCCCTT